TCTTTTCTATTCTTTATCGTGGATAATGAGTCTCAAGCCAGTGATTTATGGCTGAAATAGAATCATGATTTTTCCGCGCAAGATTCCTTTAAACCATAGCCATCATCATACCAACAAAGACCAAGCCTTGAATGATAACGGTTTAATGGGAAAGTTATACATAGTATGTGCGCTCGAGGTGAAATACCTTATCTAAATGATCAGACAATGATGCTGTCAGCAACACACTAATGGGCGGAGCACAGGCGGCGGAGGTGGAGCTCAGGGAGGAATGGCAGCCCCTGGCGCTGAACTAGCGCGCCTTTGACCACGAAAACGCCACATTTCGCTTCCTTGGGCCCCTGACTACTGCTTCCACTGGTGCATGTACTTCCACGCTGCACACACACTTTATCGTAATCCCTCGCTTTGAGCCCACAGAGAGACCGTGTGCTGGTAGCGCTTTGTTCCGTTTTTCGCTAATTAGTGACCTTGTCATAAAATCATATCTCCAGGTTGCGAAAATGGCGGCTTTGTATGGCATAGATCTTCGAACAGGCTGTTTTTGTAATTCAGGAGCTTGTCAGATTTACCTAGAACACTCAAATGATCAGCTCCGCCACTACTTCGAGGTATGATAACTAATTATGTGATATCGCGTGGCTCCACACATCACCTCTGATCTGGGAAGATCTAATAACGTCACTCGAACTCGTTCAGGGAGGCAAAGAATGCGGTGATTCCTTGGATCTGATGGATGGAAGGCCAACGGGAGCTGTTCGAGTATCCTTTGGCAGGCAGTCCACATCTGAGGTTTCCATTTATTTTCTATGCTTTTCATTGCATCAGCAGTGTTGTCATCGCAAACGGTTCAGGATGTCTATGCCTTGGAGCAAATGATCGACTGCTGTTTCCTTGGCGTTCAACTACCGATTGATATCGGTTATCACTTGAGCCTTTCCAGCTACTCGGCCGTTGTGTCCCGTATTGTTACGTATCCTGTTAAAAGCTGCAGGGGGATCGTCTTGAACAAGTGAGATTGCCATGTTCACAGCAAAGGCATTATCCATGTTTTTGATGGCTGAAAATATTACGGTGTTCAACAGCCCATAGTTGGTCTAAGAAGCGCGCTCGCAATGCGTGAATCCGCAGCCAAAATATGAATGCGCTTTGCGGTCTTCGAAACTTACCTATTTATACAGCACCTGGACTCACTTCTTTTTCATTGAAGTCTTCATTATTCGAAATTCGTGCAAAGCTTTGTCTTGTGATGACGATGTTGGCCGCCCCGCAAGCCGCGCGCATTTTAATTGCCTGTCTCACATGGGGAAGAGAAAAGTTCACCGGCGGCGCGGACGCGAGCGCGTGCTGGTGACGTCAAAATGACGTCACAGCTGCGCAGGCTTGAAGGGAGCGCGAACAGTGGCTCTGCCGATGTCATTTTGCTCGAATTGTGCTTTGTTTCTAGTAGTATACCAAACTGTTCAGTCAATTTTGCCGCGAGCGAATGACTGTTTCATGTCTGTACAAGACGATTCTCGCACTAGGAATTGGAATTTTCGAAATCTCAGAGGAAATCTAGGTTTTCATGTACAAACCCTTAAAATTAGACCGTCAAGTTGAGTTGATTGACCCATTGTGGACAGCCGTTGTGCGTGCACATTCTTTGGTTTTGGCGTCTGTTTTGTCACGAACCAATAATGATAATAATAATAATACGAAGTAGGTTGAACCATGTCCGTTCTCCGAGTCCGCCCGATTCTACTTAGTACACTGTGGCTAAAGTAGCGCTGGCAGTACATATTCCGTGCTCGCTCCCTCGCCGCCGCTGTGACGTCACCAACATGCGAACGCGTCCGCGCCGCCGGTGAGCTCTTCAATGGAGCCATCTCACACACCATAATGTCAAATCGATTAATTAATGCGCATATTTAGAGGTGTTCTAACCAAAACTGGACTTCAGTACGATCGTGCGTTTATGATCGAATGCTGTGGAACGCCAGTTACTCAAAAACGACATCAGAAGCTGTGCAAAATCATCACAAAGGTTACTCATCGAATTCCATATGAAACAGATTGGTCTGGTTGTTTATGTAAAAAAAATACGTGGCGCGATCAGGGTCAACCGTCACGTTGGACCAATTTCGAAAATTTTACGACCCCCTCCCCCTTCTAGAGGGCCTCGATACGACCCCCCCTCAGGGTTAACCCTTCACGACCATCCTCCACCACCCTCGCCTGCCATCGCCATCATGGGGGCGATTCTATAGTATTTGATTCTGAGACCAGTCGACACAGCCCAACTCCGCCCACTTTTCCCTCCAAAATTGCCGTCGAGCGGGAGGGGGAGGAGGGTATATATCGAATGTGAAACGGACAAAATTTTCGAACTATTTTCGCACTCAAAATCACAAATCCCAGCCCAGCCAACAACCTAATCCGCTCTCCGTTCCATAAAAAATCATCCCTTCCCTTACTGTAACATTGACGCTACCTCGCGAAATACGACCCCCCTCTTTTCCACCCCCCAAATACGACCCCCCACCCCCTCGTTGGACTTTGTCAACGGACGGTTGACCCTGGGCGTGATACGGTGAAATGATCTGCCACATGTTTCCTTTCGACGTTTCTTTGAGCTTTCCCATTTTCAGTTGGACTACAGCGACATGACCTTATCCCTTACAAGCGCTGATGACATGGCAGCATCAGTGCGAGTACCACTGCACAAAGTCGGTGGTACTGCTCGGAAAAATGGCATTGTTTGTGTGAACCGGTACAGTTTCAGACTTTTCGTGAACTTATTAGTGCTTCTGGTTAAATGGAAGCAATATTGCGAGGTTTCCTGTTTGGGGACCCTTACGACAACCAATCGGTGACATGCCTTCCATTTGGAGCCCTCCCCTTCTTCAGTAAAATTTCCATTTCACCTTTATCCAAAGCTTTCCAAATGGCAGGTCCACGTGTATACTACTTCATATCAAAAAACTCGGCCGAGGGAAGGGGTAAATACTGCAGGGTGCACTACAGATGTGGTAAAAAAAAAGTAGTAATGGCACTGGAACCACGGTCTGAAATGGAGCACGATGGAACTCTCCCGATTTCTTCCTAGCAGAGGAAAGCTGCAAGATTACTAGATATGAATACCTCCGGTACACAATAAAGGTCGTAAGAGCTTCAGGTGAGCGCAGCACGCGGCACGTTACACTCTCTGGGTACGAGAGATTGTTCCACATAGAGAGATGGTTAACACGTTGACGACATCGCGCGTTTTGTGTTTTTGCACCGCGTGGGACCAGAGCGATTTTGCGAGCGCCGCCGCCGCACACCAAATCCATGGATTTTGAGCTGTAAATACTTAGATGCGATGAAGTGTTTTCAATAATGTTCGATCTGTCTAACTTATCGGGAGTTACAGTAATGGAAGTTCGACCGAAATGACGTGTTAAGGCCATGAAAAACAAATTTTACTTAATTTTACTTACTTTCCCTTTAGTGGTTCCAAAATTAATTTGGACGTGGTTGTTTCAGTAAAAACACATATCTTCCCATACGAATAGGTTTGTATTCGCTTCTATTCCTTTTTATCAACATGTTTACGTTAATGAAAAGAAAACGAGGAATGAACTGAACAGACATATCCGTAAGAAAACCTCTGCCAAACTAAAGAATATTTGGCCTTTCTGTGAGCCATGTGGTTTTTAAGTATGCTAATGTATGGCCTATAGAATGAGTACAAAGACCTTAGGAATAAGTCGCACAAGCGCAAGAAAAAGGGATGACTTGGGTGGGACGCGTTACCGCGTCACAATGTCCCACGAGGTGCGCAAAGTGGGACGCGTTACCGCGTCACGCTGTCGTCAACGTGTTAAATTTTGCCACAACATAAATGAATCTGCTTCCAAATTTTCATAAAACTTGAAGTGAGTCACAGATAAGTGCTCAGTATTCCTTCTTACATCTCTGCAATTATATGAGCTGAAATTTGGACGTGGCTCTACGAGTGTCCACTCATCTTCTTCGTGGAACAGAAAAAACATGTAAAATCGACAAGAGGCTGCGTTCAGGAACATTATAAAAGCGATTGCTGTACGACGAGATTTCAACCCTAAGAAGCACATACATGGCCCCTATAACCACGTGAAGAAGCCCATGGCTCCGCGAAGCATGAAAAAGTTGGGATCAAAGACTTGTGTGCAACCACTGTTCAAAATTTTCATGGTGCTATATTTGAAAGACAGATTCGAAGTCCGTGTGACTCAAGACAAATTGGAGCTCATATCTGAGCGAGCGAAGATTCGTCTAACTCAAATCGCAACACAAAGTTAACAGTTCTGAGGAAAAGAGAATGTGAAATTAATGCTGCGCCTCCTAATCCGTCCGCTTCCCGAAAAAAAACTGTGTGCAACTGACTGAAACGTCATGCCCAAGCTTACTATGAGCTGTAACATGTACCAGACCTAATCATATGAAACGAATCTTGCCGCTATTCTGTCACCAAGAAACGTAAAGCGTAAGTGCCATGTAGAGCATCAATCAGTTTCAATGCTTGCTAGTGCTATTGATGGCGAATAGCAAACTAGTAAGGCCTAGCAGTACGGAGGCGCTATCAATGCGACGGGATGTCTTGCATGAGAAAAATTTCCGTAGGACTGTCGAATTCGTCAAATTTTTTTCTCGAAAGAATCCTAACACCTCGAATATTGATTTCTAAAGATATACAGTAATCTCTCTTCACATCGACACATCACGCTTCGGCCGCTCCTCACTCTCGTCGGACAACTGCCCACAGTTCGTATTGTTTGGACTGTCCGAAGGCCAAACATTCGCGGCAACTCTAAAACTTGTAATTGAGTAACAAATCAACTGTGACTTCTAAAGTGTCGTTGCATTGCAGTGTCGGAACAGCTGAATGTTCGGCGTCTGCATCCGCGTGGGTGACATCGTTTCTGGGATTGCCTGATTGTAAACTTCAACGGCTTCTGGAAGGTTTCAGTGTTTGTTCACATTCACATTATTGAAGGGGGTGGTGTGCTGGCTGGGAAAGCTGATCGCATATCGAATCCGATCATAGCCTCTCTTAACAGTAAGCGGGGCGCGAGCGGACTGGCAGGGTCGGTCCTACGTTGCTACAAGTAGCAACGGGGGTCGTACTTTGATGAGTTTTTAGAGGGGGGTCGTACATTTTGATGAGTTTGTAGAGGGGGGGTCGTATATTTTGATGAGGTTGTAGAGGGGGGGGTCGTACTTGCTTCGATTGTAAGAAGTTGCATGAGGTGAGGGAGGAGTGGCGCGGGAGAAAATTTGCCGTTTCAGCGCGCGTATATACCCCCCGCTAGAAAATGAAGCGTGGGATTAAAGGTAGGAGGGGGTAAATTGGTGGGAAATTTTAGGAATGTTGAGGTAAATTTTTACTCGTTTTCAGAGGTAGACTATAATACCCGCCTAACGCTTCCGAAACGGATTTTGGAGGAAAAAGTGGGCGGGGTTTTCGTGGGTTGAGTGATACCAGTGATACCAGAATTAAATACTATAGCGAGGAATATGGTGGTCGAGGGTCGAGAAGGGGGTCGTACCAAATCCACCTTTGGGGAGAGGGGGTCGTAAAAATTTTTCGAAAAGTAGCAACGATAGGACCGACCCTGGTTCTGGAGGCGGTCTGATAACATGCGTAATAACGCTCCTAGGGCCGATTCAGACTTTGCGAAATCGCGCAGACATTCCGCTAGCGTCCGCCGGTCCGCGTTGTGGTAGACGCAAACCATTGAAGTGGGTCACTAAAATGGCCGCCGCCGACGCGACCCGCAGACGCTCAGCGAAATTCACACGGCGATCCGCAAAGTCTGACATCGGCCTAAGGTGTGGTCAGACAGGCTCCCAATCACCACTATGAGTCGCGTCGTTTAACGTGCCGCCCTCCCAGTCATTACATCCATTGCCTTTGAGGTTATCGTTGTGAAACTACAGAACAATTTTCAGATTCAGAACCGGAGTCTTCGAATGAGATGCTCCATACCATTCTTCGCTAGGAAACGAGGCTTCCATCGTGTCCAAACATCGCCGAGGATTGTCAAGGTGAACACTGAGATTCTCAAACTGTGACTCGAAGTAACCATTCATTTCTGTCTCATATTATTTTTATAGGACTATCTGTTTCGGAGACGATTGATCGATTTCGTCCAAATATAGTAGTGAAAGGAATACCGCCATTCCTCGAGGATACTGCAAAGTTTGTAATAATCGAGGAATTACCCCGCTTCGAGGTACCTGATCTGTTATATCTACTATTCGCTTTTTTCTACATTATATTTCAACCCGACGCAGGTGTTAGAGCCACTACATATCTCTGGCTGCGCCACTTGCATAAAGTTTACCGGTTTCTGGACTATTAAGAGATTGAAAGGCAGAGTTTGCACCGCGTTATCCCTTTGATGTTTTCACATACCCTCTATTTCTGAGACGAAGAAGTAGCGTCGACATGCAGTACCATCCACCACACACCACAAGTGACGATGGCCAAGAAAAAATTGGCTTTTTTCTGGACCTCGTCACTTGTGTTGCGTGGTCTGCACACAATACTCTTCTCGCCTTCCAAAATGGAGGGTACCCGTCCAGCTGAGGCTTAGAGTCGATTGTAATTATAAGGCAGTCCTAGAAATCTGCTCTTCTGCAGAAGCTAAAACATGGTGCGAAAAAAGGTTAATATCACAGATACCCCGATTTGAGCAAGTTTCAGATTTACATTTCAGCCCATACCAACACAATGAGAGATCTAGGTGTGGGTTATTGCAATCCTGAAACATGAATGTGGTGCACCGTCTGTATGCGCGCCGACGAGTACTGCAGAGAGCCACAACGAAACCGCCATCAAACTCGCAAGTACAACACCAGCGCAGATCCTTCCATTCAAAGGCAATGTACGATATGGTGCCTCGCGACAGCCAGTGGCAATGAATGTAGGTGCTGGTCTAAGAATGCAGTGAGGTGAGAAGAAAACACAAAGAAGAAAGGGCCTAGAAGCCCCACAGAAGCGAGACCCTTGCAGCTCACACCCGTCGATTCTCCTCTCCGCGGCGAGACTCCATCGTGCCGGGCTTTAGTGGACGCTCAACACGAAAAGCACTGACTGCTGCTGTCCCCTCCTGCTAGAGACGACTAAGAGTGCAACGCATGAGACGCCAAGTGAAGTAGCCGGAGGGCGAGGGGGAGGAGGGTAGGGCTAAGTTGCTGGCGTGAACAGTCAGGAAATGACAGGAGGGCCCGTCCACGCCCCCGTCCAAGAAAGAGCACACCAGTCTGTCAAGCGCGACGAGGTCGCAAGGCGCGTAATTGTGCAATAGTGGGGCGTGCTATATTGCACTTCTTTAAAACTTGACGCTAAGTTCGCGACAAATGCGCGCTTAGCGAGACTCGTCCCCGCTGAACCCCTCTACGTCTACGCCTTCTCGCGGCGGACGGAGCCTGACCATCTGTGGAGCAGGGTGTTAAATCGCTAGTAATCTTGATAACCGTACAAAAACACTGCGGCCACGCGCTGGGAGAGCGGGTACGTAACCGCGTGATCAAGCCCGCCAGCGGAAAATCGAATGTCGACTTTCCAAATTTTGCATATCGGCGCCACTTAGAAATCAACAGCGCACTCGCGGCGCCGCACCAAGACGATAGCACGAATCGTTTGGTGGGAAAGCCCTGCAAATTTTCATAGGACGTGAATGAAACGAAGAAAGTTGTAGTTGTTGGACTAACTCGAAAGAAAAAAAATTTTTACGCAAGGAATTTATTCGAGGTTGTCGGTTTTCCACAATTACTTGTGTGATTTTATACCCACATCTCCGAACAGTTTTACAACGACATAGGTTTTAAGAAGTCCCAACGACCACTGGATAGCCGCATAAAAAAGAGGCGTTTTCCACGAAAAAATGGCTTGATGAAGCTGTCCCCATAAAAAACGTCCCAGACAGGGACTAATGCTTTTCAATCTCGGCTAACTTCTTGAATGAATCTAGCACTTTCGCGGCAGCGAATTTGTAGTAGACCCAGCCCTCTTTCAAGAAAAAGCTTTGAAGCCTTTAAGTTTGTCACGCAGGCTTCAGCTTCCCAAAACAGTTAGTTTGAAGAATTAGTTTCTGGTGATTTTAAGGTTGAAAACTCTCGGTATCAAAAAAAAAATGTTCCCACAACCCACCTTTCCCCCCCCCCCCAAAAAAAAAATTCCCAAAGGGACTAACTTTCGATTTCAATGATTTTCACAAAGAAGTTTCATCACTTTATAAGAAGCCTGAGCCGCGAAGTTTGTCATACTGGCCTCAGCTTTCCGAATTAGTGACGTTGAAGGTAAGTTACGATCGTCTAAAGGTCGAAAACTCGCACAAATCGTGCACCCGAAAAGAGTACACCAATGCTAATATTTTTATTAAATGAAACTTTCCAGAACGTAAAAGGTTTTGGAGAGGCGCGTGTTTCTGAATTCTCCTTCACGCATTCTACTTGTCGCCACCAAACCTCGAAACTTCGATTGAGCAAGAAAGTTTATGACCCCTCGAAAAGAGGCTGATGCAAATTCAGTTTTCCGAAATATTAGATTACTGCATTTGCAGGAACGCACGGCCGGAAAAACCAGGAAAACTTCCCGCCACCCCCACCCATCCTCTTTGAGCTTCCTCCACGGCGCATAATTCAGCTAATGATTTTCATACACACACATCTCACAGAGGTGGGGGCGTATCATTACAACCCTTCCCAAAGGGGGGGGCGCGGAGAGATCGTAAAAATTCCTAACTGACGATAATGGGTCCGCTCTGTATGGTAGCCCAACCCCGCAGACAAACTAATCCTCGCCGTATCGGTCGGTCGTATGATAATTCTGTCCTCCGGCGCAAGCTCTACGGATCTCCGGACTTCATTTGAAACCCGCTCCGACAAATTTTTTTTTGGTACAGTGATCCGCAAAATTATAGACGGGTCCTAAAAGTTGTTAGTACCTCTATTCGATTGAAACTTTCACTTCAGGTCACCAAGAAGTGTACACGATGCGAAATGATCTGCGTAAATCAAGACACTGGTATAAAAGAAAAGATCCACAGTTACTTGTTGCGTTAAGAAATTTCCGACAGCGAGACAAGGTAAATAAAGCAATCTCGAAAATATTGCATTTTTGGCAGTTTTTCCTACAAATTGAACTTTTCACTACCCAGTCACATTTGCGTTCACGCTTTCGTCTTGCTTTCTAATCGCTTCCGCCCAAACTGGTCCTATTTCACTTCATATTGCTATTCACTCTCACGCGATTCGATTTCTATTTGAAAACAGGCAATTCTTTGCAGCGGGAGGGGAAAGAAAAACTCAGTAGCCACGCGCACGTGCTAAGTGCTCACACAATCGTACGACGAAGATGTGGATAACAGCATGCGCTACTAGCTTTCGCTCGAATAGTAGTGAGATATATGCATTTGGGATAGAACTGGGACGCATTCGAAGGCTTATTTCATCTCAACACAACAAGCATCAGAGTGGACAGCTTTCGCAACTCATAGCAAGATGGAAAGACCCAAAATGCTTTTGCGACTTTGAAATCACTTGCGCGTGCGTGGCGCATACCGGATCAGTAGTTGCCAGCGCTTAACGATTTGAAAGCGATGTATCATGGGCAAAAAGAGGAGCGGAGCCCTGGTGGTTTTGAACGTTGGAGTTGAGGAAGTTGAGGACCCGAGTTGGAGGAGCCCAAGTGTTTCTGTATGAAATTTTGAGCAAGGAAATCCGCTTAAATAAAGTCGCTTCTTGAAACTCAAAAAAACAAAAGAAAAAATTCATTAGAGCGAAATTTCAAACAAAGATTCTGCAAAATACTTTTCATGCCTTTTAGAACGTACAAATCTAATGATTTCCATGAAGCCTGTTTTTCTGCGAAGGAAGTTGTGATCGTTGAATCTCGAAAACTAGCACGCGCGAGGAACGAGTTCAGAAACCACTGAGAAGAAAGCCAGACGGACGATTTTTGAGTACATGAACTGTAAATTTCATAAAAAGGCTCTCTGGAAAGCTCATAGTCCGTTGTTTTTCCACACCACAGATGAAAGCTACAGAATACATGCTAGACATAGCTACGTTTGCTTTGCTAGAAGCACGTTTGCTGAAACCCAAAAATTCGCGTTCACACGAAAAAAGACAGACGTATTATTTTTTCAACAAATGAACATTCAGAAAGTGAACGGAGAGACGAGAGACAATTGGAATTTCAAAAAATCTCTTCAACGCTTCCCTCAAGGTCGCATATGAAAGTTACGGTCTCTGAAAGGAAGAAGTTCGCATTTTTTAAAATTTTTCTTTTAATGAACAACATTACAGATGAAGCTTCTAACCTTAAGAAGAACTTGGTCAGATTCCAAAGCAGCAATGGCTTCAGATCCTGAATGCAAAAAATGAATCGGTCAGACAGATGCCCTTATCTGACAGGCGCCGACGAGTTGGACACCTCGTTGATGGAAACGCGAGGCGAGAAGTACTCTAACCCCTGCGCTGGGCGCGTCCAACTTCTCCTCACCTCTTATACATAACGGCCGCTGCCTTTAGGCGCTTTCATTTCTAAGCGTCACCTGGTGCATGAACGAACGCCAAATGTTAAGACGCATAGCGCGATTATATCATAGGGGCACGTTACGCCTCATCGAGCTAGGTGGGCCTGCAACTGCAGAGTATGCGCTACCGTTTAGAGTCAAAACACGTGGCAAGCCCTCAAGAAGCCTGTGACTTGCATCTATTTGCATATACTTCGCCATCCATATACATCAACCGATGTCTGCGTCTCCCTCGTCCCTTCTGTGTTTTCCTCGTCATGGATCTTTTGTAATTCCTCACGCTCACTGTCTCCAAGACTATCTATCTCGTAAATCTCCCAAACAGATGATCTTTTCAAAGTTGTTGAAAGTTTCTTTCCTTTTTTCTTCACTGACGGTCTAATAACTAACTATTCCATAGTAACAGATCAATATTTTAAGATGACGTTCGGTATCTACGTAAAGCAGATTGGCGACGAACAAGGCGAGATTCAACAAAGCTCCAAAGTTTATTTTGAATAAAACATAGAAAACACTTTCGTTGTAACAAAACCCATAAGTCTCGGTTTGATACAAGGGAATCGGTCGCAAAATAACAAAGAATAGTCGCAATAACACGTTAACAAGACAAAGTTGTAAGGCATCTCCGAAAGCCTATTCTGACTGAACAGCGAAGAAGTTGAGGGATAAAGACACAGTCCAAGCAAACATATTGATTTTTGTTTTTATACATTTTCAAAGGCTCCAATTTCTCAGATTCGGTTAGCATGAAACCATAGAGGTTGGATGCTCACTATGGAGTGGTAATCGAAACAAAATTAGAAAACTACTGACTAGGGTATTTGTAGCCTGAAGATCATGTGCTTTCTTTTGTTATGCTTTGTAAGCTAAAATAACAACTTTTTCAACAACAAAAAATGAGAAGTAACCATGAAAAGCATGGGTCTTCTGACCCGATGCTTCAATGTAATGCCCGTAATCTGAAATAAGCTTGGGTGCGATGACTCAGTTCCAAAAGCAATTTTCCTAGACAGTGTCGGGAGATCCAGGTTGCGGCGGTATGCAGGCTCCTTCGCTAGTTGTACAGGAAACCTAGTGTCAGACTTTCGCGTCAAATCAAATGGAGGTAATTTGAGTACGACACCCTTCACTCCACAGTAAATTCAGAAATTTTTCAATTAGATGATTGCCTTTTTTGCTTCAAATTTCTGAGAACCTACAGACAATCCATAATTTTGTGAGCAAAAGTAAAAGGCAAGATAAAGAGGAAAATGTATTCGGAAATTCTCCATCTTACTTATTTCCACCCGGATCTCAAATGTGGACCGATAAGAGCCTGATAAGGTACCCTCGCCTTCAAATGACCAGAAATTGTGCAATTGCAGAAATTGACGTGGCATTGGCACACGTGGCTAAATTCTCGATGAAAAGGTGACATCACGTGTGCTCAAAGATGTTCTTGAATCGATGCCACGTTAATGCCACGTCAATTTCTGCAATTGCACAATTTCTGGTCATTTGAAGGCGAGGGTATCTTCTACTACCGTGTGACGAGCACGACAGTTGCCCGTTGCTGCAACATGGATCTCCCGACATATCCTTTCTTGGTTGGACTGTGGCTTCAGAAACCAGTTTTTCCGTAGGTGTCCGGAAAAAAACGTAATAAATTCTTAGAAAAAGATCTAGGCTCTGGCTAAGATGGAGATGTACTCGGCACGATGTGACAAAAGAAGAAGCGCGAGGACCACGACTTAGGATCGGTCAAGAATGGCGCGAGGTATTAGATTCAATCAAAGCACCTAGCAAACTGACAAGAGCACGAAATGATCATCAGAAAGAAGCCCGTGAATTAGAGATCGTAAAATTGACTATATTTTCGAGAGAAGTGGAGGCGCTGACGGATAGGTGCTGAACTCGAGCCCGCCACGATTTCGGCGCGATTGCCGTTTTCGGTACCAGATAGCACAAGCACAACATGGCGAACAGAAACAAATCATACAGCAACATCCGCATAAAGTAATCACAAATAGCAGAGTAAGAATAATCATCCTGAAACGAAGTGATAAATAAAAGCTGAAAATAATCAGAAAAAAAGAAGGCTAGAATCACCATATGTAGGACTTCACTTCAAAAGGTAAGTGATCATAAATCCATTCTAGTATTGCCATCCAATCCAATTTCAGGACGGACTCCCATAGCGGAGGATTCTCGTCACTCATAACTATTTCTATGGTATGTTGTGGTTGTGTTGAGCTGTTGGACAACGATGGCGCCTGAGCAATAGCAGTGGGGATCGATTGCCGGACAGCACCAAATGAAAGCTAATCGGGGATAGCAACGGCCACACCAACACGTCTGTGCTGCTCAACAACTTGCTGAGCCTGGCAGCAGCGAACTGTGGGTGGGCTGTACTATCTAGTAGAGCAGCCACGGACAGAAATGGGCGGAGTTGTACTCTGTTTCAAAATGAGGAGATGAAAGCCCTCGCGGACGAAGGTCGGGCGACACTCAATACTCGACGAGCACTGGATGACTCATCGTGGGATGGCGCGGCGATGCGATGTTTCTCTGAATGCTCTCCGAGCAAAAATGTGCCCTGAAGAGGAAAAACGCATGCGGAACCGGATGGCCTTCTCGGAGCTCGAGTGAGTCATCCGAGGATTTTTGGCAGGCGGTCTGAGCTGAATCATAAGTCAATAATGTCTTCCTTTGACATCCTTACAACAACACCTTGCCGATGATTTGTCTGCTCGGAACAGTCATGCTTTTTCTAATGCAAGACATTTGTAACAATCGTAGTGACTATTCCTGCATACACCCGCCCTTCAGGGAGCCCTTTCCTATGGATTCGCTGCATAACTGTGACTCATGCAGCAACGGTACCCAGAAACAAAGCTCATGATGGGCCAAGTGAGCCTCATGAGTGCTCGCAACGGACAACTGTGTTGCCCTGCGCGATGCTCAATTTTCTCCGAGCTATCGTGTTTCCAAAGGTTTTTTGAACTCTTTCGAAATCTCCTTGGCAGGTTTCTAGAAGGGAGTTTTCTGTGGCGGCCTAGAGTACATCACTATTACCGCCAGTCAAGGACATGGGGCGTTGAAAGGACACCGGTGTGAGCATGATTTAGCCCCGTCAATGAGGACATAAAGTGGATGAAATGAGAGCACAACTATCAATGATGGTAAACCAAACCCATAAACTAAAAATTGCCGCATGAAACTAATGCCCATTCAAATACCGTTGCGATTACCAAGGGAACACTGCTGCGAGGCGCATTCAAAGCAACTCAGGAAGATTAGGATTTTACCCTTTTCATTAGAAGAACTGAGGGATTGAAATGGAAAACCATTATGTGAAGCTGGACGCAACTGCCTCTCATCACGGAATTCGGAATTCGGAATGAAAAAATCAATAGGGTCTGCGCAAATAAAACACGCATTGCACTGGGATCTGCGTAAATAAAATTCACATTGTCAGCTTCCACATATCGCTGAACAGTGTCAAACGCTACACTAAAAAAATTCAGGCTGACGATCTCCGACTTTAGCCACATAAGAAGGTCAAAAGTATCCTTCTCATTGAAAGTTTCTTCTCCTTTCTCAAAGTTTCTCTCACAAACAAACATACATGCGATTTGAAGAGTATACCCCTTTCCAAAAAAAACCGATCTAATACGACCCCCCCAGAGAAAACCACACGAAACTGCAGAGACCCTTAAAAATACATAGCGCTGGCCATATAGGCAGTACCTGCAGCCCTTTTCATTGGTCAGCCTTCTTTTGTTACGGTGGAACACGGCAAGGAACCGAGCTGACCAATGAGAAGGGCGCCAGTAGTTGTTCTAGTACCGCCCATTCGATAAGCGCAATATCATTTTAAGGCCTCCTTCATTACTGATTGACCCAAATACCACACCAGCTTCTCATTTTCAGACAATCCCATACACACCCACATTTACTCACTCGCAAAATGTACTTTCAATAGTAGATGCTTTACCTGTGAGATGACACCTGTCAAACAGTAAAACCCAAGAGATGATTCATGTCTTGAGAAAAAGGCAAGGTTATCTTTTTACAACCACATGACTCAGTCTTACACACAAGAGCAGGATGTATTTTGATGACACGAACGCATTTTCAACTTGAATATTCGGTATTTCACAGTGAGCATGCCTTAGCCAAACATTATTACTCGCTAGATAGAGTTCTTACAAAATCGATCCACTCGCTCAGTCCACTTCACGAAGTGCGCAGAAGTCAAATACACTGGCCTCATCAATATAATATTTGTGCCAACAGCTTATAAGAAGAACGAACCTCCAGTCCACCTCATCGCATTGCTTCAACTCTCCAATACCCATCTCCAGACCCTTCTGAGTCCATGGGAAACGTTCCGTCAAGCAGCCTAGTCCCGAGCTGAACACCCGAAAAGCAGCGGCCGCTGCATCATTGGAGCCCATGATGAGGTGTGTGCGGCAGGTTCAAACACAACCGCAACCTTGCACCTCCCCTGAACAAACAGACCAAGTCCGAGCGATCGCGGTTTTCTGGTGTGTAAAGGACCTCCTCAAAAATGCTTCGACTCCTGCCACCCCCTCTCGCGCAACCATAACCCTGCGCCTCGGCTCCTATTCTCACCGCTCTCTTTTGATGTAATCAGTGATACTGGTCAGAGATACAATTTTGAGTTACTTCTATAAACACAATAAAGTAACTCACGAAGTCAGCGCGGGTGCGCATGCCACCATAGATCCAGCCGAATCATTACAGTAATCAGCAATGTAACAACTCATGTAACATCTTTGCAAACATGACTCAAGAGTATCATAACAGCTGACGAAAACGCCTGGAAAGTCAGAAAATTAGAAACAGAGCAAGGACTGTTTTCCTTTTTCTAAGGTTGTCCATTCTACACTCGTCAATTCCTGGAAGGAAATTACACGATGACAGGCAACCCTTCCCATAAGATCAGCTCGCCAAAGCTGCGCGACGGCCTTGGAGCACGCTTAAAGGCAGTGATCACGATGGCCGGAGAGGCGGATTTGATTACGTCATTCAACACCATTAGTGGAAGGGTACTAACAAGGGAGGTCTTTCAGGGCAAGCCACGCTTTTTCAAAACGGTTTCTTGCATATTGTAGGGACGCATGTAGGGAACACAAAACCATGTTTCATTTTCGCTGAACGGTTTTAGCAGTACCAAAAAAGAAGCATAAGGTACTGTTAATGGTTCGATCCCCCGTGGCGACTAAATTTTGCATTTGGGTTGGCGCCTACGGTTTGGTGCCAAATCGCGCTAAATGTCAAAATCAGATGTCAATTCATCGTCAGGACCATTTTGAAGCCAACAAGTGGCCGCCAACCTTGATTGCAAAATTTAGTCGCCGCGGGGGATCGAACCATAGAGGTATCATTCACCACTTTTCTGATAAGATGCCAGGAATCCTTTATAAAAAGAGCGGCTTGCCCTAAGACCCCCCCCCCCGCCTAAGAGGCGGCCCCAACTACACCTCCAGCGCGCTGAAAAGTCTAGTAAACCAATGACCTTCAAGGACGTCATCGAAATTGCACCACCCTCCACTCGGGCTAAACTTGATAGTCTCAGGCTCATCACCCCGCATATCCTACATATTGGCGTTAGATCCACCACTGCAATTCCTGATCATTCATGTCACAATTGTTTGCTTTATTTTCACTTGCCCGTGCTGTCGTTCTTTCTCATTTATGTGTAGTACTGGATTCCTGCTCACGAGGATTTAAGTTTCACATCACTTTGAATTCCTATTGATTGTTAATAAAAGTGAAGGCGTCTTATATAGTGGGTGTCAAAAATATAAAGACACCCCTGTAGCTGTTCGACTTAGGATGGAGGATTCGTGGCTTGT